ACTGTGGGGTACACACTGCTCTATGGGTGTTCTGAGGTCCAAGCAGTCTGGACACCCATGCCCCAGAGGGTCTGGGCTGAGGTGGTGGCTGGGGTCCCCAGGGGGCTCCGTGCAGAGAAGGCTGCACCTTGGCTGCTTCCTGTGTCAGGGCTTGGGCGGGAACCAGAGCCGGAAGGGGACCCGCCCTGCCCCACCCGGCGGCAGGGAGAGGTCGGAGTGACAGCCACGCTCCTGGTCCCACAGCCTGCACCTCTCTAGACTTCCCCATCCTTCCCTTCACAGCCGCCGAGGGGCTGAGTGTGCCTCTCTGGCTGCTGCCCTGTCCCCAGCCCCAGGCCCCTGGGCTGTATGGGACCCGCCCTTCCCCAGCAGCCTGTCCTGTCCTGGTTCCTCTTCCTCTCTGTCTCTGACACAGAGGCTCCCACCCTCCTGTGAGCAGTGTGACCCGCAGCAGGTCATAGAGGTCCTCTCCTAGCTCAGCAGAGATGACACAGCCTTCTCATGGGTGGGTGGGGGGAGGATGGTGTGTGCAAAGCTCCGAGGGAGCCAGGTGTACTGGCACATGCCTGTAATCCCAGGATTTAGGAGGCTGAGGCAGGTGGGTTGCCTCAAGTTTGAGCCCAGCCTGGGCTACATAGTGAGTTCAAAGGCTGCTTGAACTACACAGGAAGACCCTGCCTCAAAAATGCAAAAACAGAATGTACCAAGCTGTTTCTCCTTGGTCAGATGGCTTGGCCTCTTGATTTCATGTTTTCTGGGGCTTCTGGTCCCTAAGCTGTCCCTAGAGAGGTCCCCAGCACACAGAAGTCTTCTTGGGTGCCCAGCTCTGAGCACGGCCACCTGGTTGCCTGTGCCCCAGTGCCCAGAATCCTTCCTGCCTGCTGTTTGCTTTCTTCAGTGACACTGTAAGCTCCAGGGTCACTTGTACTGGCCATGTCCTGCAGCCCAGGACCCCCTGAAGCCAAGGTTCCCTAACCCTGGCAGGCCCAGGGTGCCCCCCCGCCCCCCGCTTGGTCTTTCATTTCCCAGGACCGAGGCTAGTTCCATGTGAGAGCGCCTCAGGTCTCTTTCTGTCTCTGGGGCAGGGCTTGGGGACACTGCCCTGAGGGTCCCTCCCTATCTTTCACAGGAAGGACGGGATGACACCAGGGCATGGAGTTGTGCAGGGGGCCATCGCTAACTGCAGCCACTGTGTCCATGGGTTGAGGAGCTCAGCTTAGCCTTCAAGGTGGGTGAGTGTGTGCCGCCATCCATGAGGAGGGGGACAGGACCCACGTACCGACTCTGGTGTCCTGAGTCTGTGAGGAAGGGGTGGAGGAAGAAGGAACTGGTGCCGTTCCCCAAGCTACCTGAGCTGCAGGTTCCTCATGAAGTCCTCCATGGTCACCTGGTCCAGGAGCACGAAGTCTGGCTTGCCGCACTCAGGACCTTCATGGTCGTCCATCCTGCTGGCAGGAAACACCGAGGCTGGAGTGCCGACCTTTGTGTGCAGGAGCAGAGGGGAGGGGAGCCCCGGGAGGCCCGGCCCCTGCCATACAGAAAGTAGGAAGTGGGTTTGGGCTCGGGAGGGGTGGCCCTGCTTGCTCACTGCTACTATTACAGGCTGCCCTGGCAGCTTCCTGTGCCTGCGCCGGCGCCCCTGGAACCTGAGCCCCAGGTCCTCCTGCCCTTGCAGGATAGAAGGCTTGCTGAGCTCCTGTCCCACCCTGACTACTCTCGGGAGTCATTTGGAAGCTTGAAAGATTTCTTGACACGGTCGCGGTTATCCAGCTGTATGGGTAGCTGTCTCATCCCCGAATCGGGGCTTACGTACATTGTGCTTTAACGCAAAAATGAAAAGGAGCCAGGAGTGGTGCCGCATGCCTGTGGGCCCCGTGCTTGGCAGGTTCAGGCGGAGGATCGCTGAGTGTGAGGCAGCCTGCACTACCGCGTGAGACACTGTGGTGCTGCTGCCCGGGCTGTGGGAGGGGACCACCTCAGGGACTCACCGTGCTGCGTCTGCAGCCCAGAAGCCGTGGAGAGAGGCCCTCCCAGGCCTGCTGTGCCCATCCTCTGCTCTGCTCCTCCACCCTCATGGCCGGTCGCAAGGGTGTCACCACAGGGCTCACAGCCCGCAGCCTGTGGCCATTGCGCTGTAGATGCAGCAGCAGTTTACGAACTGTCCCCACTCCACGTGGAGTGGGGTGTCTCCCTTTCCTCCCCCATTTAGAGGCTGGAGGGCAGATGCAGAGTCCCAACCCGTGTTACTCATGTGTCACCTGGAAATTTGTATCCAAACATCCTTTAACAATCATTTCAGTTTGGTGTGGTGGTACACGCCTGTAATCCCAGAACTAGGGAGGCTGAGGCAGGAAGATCACTGTGTGAGGCCAGCCTGGGCGACACAGCAAATCCTTGCCTCCAAAACAAAATAGAACAAACACTAACAATGAAAAACCAATCATTTTATGTTTTTTTAAAATTTACATATTTTGTACAGGATCTCACTACACAGCTCGGACTTACAGTGATCCTCCTGTTTTCAGCCTCCCCAGTCCCTGCGCTTGCCTAAACAGGTGCTTAGTCTGCTGAGCTATCTCGCCAGCCCTCACCGCAATCATTTTAATCATTTTACTTGTTAGGTCTTAAATTGATGATGCAAAGTTATTTGTCTCAAAAATGCCCAACAGTGGCTGCATGCCTGACAGAATTCGGGGTATCCAGGCATCTGCTGAAACGAGGCACCATTAATGACTGGAAGAAAAAACAGATCTAGAAACGGGGCTCCCCTTAGATGGACTCTCCAAGTTTCATCCCAACGTGGCTGGGGGTCCCCACCCAGGGCAGCGCTTGGGCGGGTGCTTTTGGAGGGTTTTCCAGTTGCCGTCCAGGCTGGGCCTCTGCCACTCTCAGGTCCCTGTGCGGTTTCACTTCCCCAGCTCTCGGGGACCCACGCAGACCCCAGGTTTGTCTAGTATTTTTTTTAAAAGAACTGACGTAAAGAGTTTAAAAAACCTGCTGTGGTTGAGTTCCAGTAAGACCATAGAAGCATCACGTTCTGAGCTTCAAAAAATCTTCACCTGTCATGAAATATTCGTTCGTTTTTTTTTTTCTTTAACCACTTACAAACCTCAAGCCCTTGCTTACTTAGCTCAGACTGGCTGTGGGTGGACATTGAGACTGGTTGCCACGCAACCAGGGCAGAACCCCAATCACAACTGTGCCTGCCCCCTGCCTGCTTGCACAACCGGGCCCCGCACGTTGCCTCATTTGATCCCTAAGACCCACATGGTGGCGACTTTGACCCCATTTGTCTCCCAGCTACTGGACCAAGGTTGACAGATGACGTCACCCAGAAAATCCCCCTGGTTGCACGAATGCCTGGTCCTCTTCTCAGCTGGCAGCGTGGGGCACTTCTCGCAGGGCATTGTGAAGGACAGTGAAGCGGGCCACCTCCTTAGCCTAGCACTTCCAGGGTGCTGGAGAAACCCTCAGCGCCCCTATTCTGCTTGTAGCTCGTTTCCAGGACTCCCTTGCCCCCTTTACTGCATGACTGCTGTTCCTACCTTAGCCTGCCAAGTGCCGGGATCACTGGTGTATGTTACCACGCCCGTTGTGGTACCAGAAATTGAGCTCAGGACCTTGTGCCTGCAAAGCAGGTGCTGTGCTGCCGAGGTGCACCCTCGCCCTGCTGCTGTCTTCTGAGGCAGGGCCTCACTGCGCGCGCGGTCAGGGTGGCCTGGAGCTCCCAAGGCCAAGCTGGACCCTCAAGCCAGTCTGCTTTTTAACCTTTTACATTTTCATTAGCACTTACCCTGCTGTGAAATTCTACAATCCCACTCACCAGAAAACCCAGTCTGGCAGCACCCCTACATAGCTGAACCAAAACTGAGGCCTGCATTTAACTTTTACTTTGCCTGAGAACATACTCTTGGCTCAATTGTGGAGAGTCCCAAGTCCCCTAAAAACCCTGCAGGAGTGCCCACGTGACTGCCATTCGCTGCAAGTCAATGGAAAGCCACGACCTTCTCCTCAGCAGCTGGGTCAATGCTCTGCCCACTGCCAGCCTCACCACCAAGCTGGATGGCGCAGGCCCACCAGCACTGCCCTCTTCAGCAGAAACCAGAGCTTTCTGGGGCAGATGCACACACCAAGGGCTCCGTGTACCTGGATTCTGACAGACAAGGCCAAACTGTCAGAGAATAACAAAGTGTCGGATCAGCCAGGGGCCAGGTGTCGCTGGAACTGTCCCCACCCTAGCCACTTCCCTTAGTCAGTGGTGGCAAACCTAATCATACATATATTTTTTGATTTTATATATTTGACACAGGCTCTCACTACACAGCTTGGACTTGTCATTCCCTGGTCTCAGCCTCCCCAGTGGTGGGATTACGAGTGTGTGCCACCACATCCGGTTTCAGTGGCAGGCTCGGGTCAGGGCCAGCAGGGATGAGGTAGTGGGGATCAAACCCAAGTCCTTGTGCTTGCTTAGACAGGCACTTAAGACAGACTGCTGAGCTATCTCTAAATACAAAAAAAATCCAAAAACGCTGCCCAGCATGGTGGCACATTCCTATAATTCCAGCATTCAGGAAAAGTTCTTTTATTTTTATTTTTTTTGCGGAACCGGGGATTGAACTCAGATCCTTGCATTTGCCAGTCAAGCGCTTATCCTACTGAGCCATCTCCCCGGCCCCGGAAAAGTTCTTTTAAAAGTTGTTTTTTTCTGAACTACAACCTCACAGGGAGATGGCTCAGTAGAATAAAGCGCTTAGCGCAAGGGCCTGAGTTCAACCCCCTGGTTCTGCCAAAAAAAAAAAAAGAAACCCCACCAAAAACCTAAAACCTCAAAAAATAAGTGAAACCTCAGTGTTCGGGCGGGGCTGCAGTGCTGGCTGTATGCAGGAGGAGGACTTAGGGCACTTCAGTGTGGCACCTGGTATAACAGCCCCACCCCCACGGGTGCCCTTGGTGCCCACGCATCCATTTAGAGGCTGGAGCACGCAGAACAGAGGAAGGCATACACTTAAGGTCGTATTTATTCAGCAGCCCTTCTGTTCAGAAGATGGCCCAGAAGCAGGGCCAGACCCCGTATTCCCGAAGCAGAGATGGAAGGCCCGAGCAATCACACCAGCAGCAGCTTCTTCAGTATCCGTGGTGTCACCTGTTAATGGGAGTTTACAAACACTATGGGTGTGCTATGACACACCAAGGGGGAGGCTGTCATGAGCTCCCACCTCCAGGGACGGCAGCCACGAGCTCCTGACCCATCCCAGGGACAGCACCGCCGCCAAACCCCAGAGGGGCACACTTACCCTGGACGGCCCTACAAGGATCATCTCAGGTCTCTCCTAGCCTCGGAGTCCTGGCACCGCTGCAGCAGCTTCAAGCACCAGCAGCGGCCATCACCGAGCCAGGTGCGAGCAGGGACGGTAGCTTGCCCGCTTCACAGATGCTGGTGGAAAAAAAAGACTCCTTGATTCACAATAAAACACAGGAGAGTCACAGCAAAAGCAGCCAGAGCCCCAGGACTTAGCACCTGTCAAGGCCCAGGTGACGACAGGGCAGGAGGAGTGCAAGTTCAAGCCCAGGCAGCCCAAGCAACTTAATGAAAATAATGAAATAAAATTAAGATCCGAATGCAGACCTGTGTCCAATGCCCAGTACCCTCCACACACAGAGTAATGAGGCACAGGGCGGCCAGTGAGTGACGAAGAAACTGGAGACTGAGACGGCTTCCCCAGTGCCAGACCCAGCGACTGCTCCTGAAACTGAAGGGATGGAAAGGTAGCTGGAAGCCCTAACCTCCAAGACAAGGTGGTGGGCAACCCACTAGGCCCGCTTCTGTCCCTTTCTCGGGCAGCTCCCCCCCCCCCGCAATCAATATTTTCTGCTATTAAACTGTTGTTCCTAAAATCATTCTTCAGTTCTACACGAACTCATCCCAGATATCCTTCAGGTTGGGAGTTTCATTCCACTCTATCATTTGGAGGTCTTCCACAAGATCACTGGGGGAGGTTAAGTTTGCTTTTGTTTCATAAACTCTGGATTGGAACTAGTTTAGGTAACAAATTTTTTTTAATTTAATTTAATTTAATTTAATTTATGTGTGTGGCCAGCTCAGCCCACCAGGGGGCGGGGCTGGCTGGCATGTGGTGCTGGGGGATTGAACCGCAGTCCCTTGTGCTTTGCTAAGCTTGTTCTAAGTAGGTGCTTTAGACCACTGAGCCATCTCACCAGCCCTAGGTAACAAATTTTTATGCTTAAAATTTTGGTACATCTTTGCTCATTGCGTATATTTTGTTCTGGTGTGCTATAAGGCATGAGAGTTCTGTTTTTATAATGGGAACTGAACTCAGAACCTTGTGTTTATCAGGCTGAGCTACGCCCGTGGACATCTTATTACTGTTTTGTTCTTGTCTACATTGCATTTGAATTGCTGAATTCACAGGTAGTCCTCGACAGTAGCGCTAGGGAGAATAACGTTAGAGCGCCCCCTAGTGGACTGTAATATAAACTTCTGGAGAAAAAAAGGTGACCTCATCCACCAGAAAAAGGATGTGTGTCCCTTTTCAAGCCAGCCCACCCCTCAAGTCCTGGAACAGCTCTTGCACCAAGGCAAGAACACAAAGGAGTTTCCTTCCCATTCTAGCTTCCTCCCACGGCTGGCATCAAGTCTTCACCTGCAGTTGCTGGTCGGGCAGCCCTGGAAACACCGTTCTGAACGTGGGCTCATGAGCCTTGGAGCCCACACTGCTGCACCAGGATTCTTTAAAGACTCAGCTCCCAGAGGCCGGGGAGATGGCTCGGTGGAATAAGTGCTTCCCTGGCAAGCGCAAGGGCCTGAGCTCAACCCCCTGCAAAGCCGTGCCAACGCGCCAAGATTTTCTTGCTCTGGTTTCTGTCAAGGCTGCCTACCAGCAACCTTTCAGGCAGAGCCACCGTGATTTGCTACTCTGGTTCAACCCCCCACTTCCTTTGAAAGTCTTGTAAAGCTTCTGTTTTGAGGATATAATAAATTTTACACTGAGCCCAGTTAACACTCAACAACTTCCTGTGCTTTTATGCCAGCCCTGCCCTGAACATCTGCAAAGACAGCTACGCCGTTCGGATCTACCCAAGCCACTGGCCACACACGGTTGCTGAACTCCGGAGATGGTGCTAGGTGAACAATATGCAGTGGACCTTACATTTTATTTGCTTCGAACTTAACCGTGTGTGCCACGTGGCTGCCACACCGGGATGTAGCAGATCCAGAAGGCAGTAGACAACTGTCTGAAATTTCTATAACCTTGCTCTGGATAGAGCAGGGCAAGGCCTCAAACCGTTTCAAAATTGTTCTAGCAAGCACTGTAGGAATGCACAGGGTCACCGCAGACCCCAGCACGCTGGAGGCTTGCTACCCACACCCACCCAAATCCCACACACGGCAGCGATCCCCCAACTGCAGCGAGAGGAGACCCGAGCGGAACTGGGTGTGTGGAGCCTGCTTTCCAGAGCCCACTGCTGCAAGTTTCTCCGCAAAACAAAAAATGTTTGTTTGTTTTTGCTACAATGTAGACCAAACAGCAAGAGTGGATTCAGTGAGGACGTTTCTCACGAAATTCTGGTTCAGACGAACGTGGGGCGCGTTCCAGCAAGGTGGACGGGGCCTTCACACCGCGACTTACCGGGTCATCTTCCAGCAGAGCCGCCCCGCAGTCGGCCCCGCCGCTCCGTGGGACGGTCCACCTGGCCGCGACGCCCACCTAGAAGGCCACACACGCCGTCAGCTCCGGCCTGCGCCTCCTCCCAGCCACCGCCTAGCTCCAGCCCTGAAGCGCCCGAAAGGCCGCTCTCGGGGCGAGTCTCCCACGAGGTCCCCAGTCCCATTCCCTCAGGGAAATGGTGGCATTTCCTCAAGGTTACGTTATCGAAACCCCCATTCTTTTCAAGCTGAGACCCCCCCGGAAGTCTGGCCCAGCCGTGGCGAAAACGTGCACGGTGCGCTCCAGCCCCTCGGGAGCCCCATCCACGGCGGCCCGACCTCCCTCCACCGAGCTCCGAACGTCCGGGACTCCTACTTGGGATCAAGAAGGAACGGGTGCTGCCTGGGGGCCTGATGGCAGCGGATGCCGAGAACCCGGGAACCCGGCTCCGAGCACCGCACCGCGACACACCAGCTCCCGCCATGGTGCGATCACCGACAGCGCGGGCGCCGTGACGTCATCGCGCAATCCCGCCCCGAAGCCGTACGCAGGCGCCGCCTGGTCTCCTTCGGCGGACGGCGTCCTCGGGGGCGGGGCGCGGCGCGGCGCGCGGGCTGGGCGTCTTGGGCTGCACCGCGGAGGGTCGGGGCCCGGGCCAGCCTCGGTCGAGGCCGGACATCAGGATCTGCTTGTGCGCTCAGAGGGCATTTGCCGCACTCTGTGCCCCCAGAGCGACCCGGAGCCCGGGGCTGTGCCATCTGCGCAGAGACCATAGGGAGCCGGCAGCACAGACACCCCGACACCCCGACACCCGGGTTGGGATCTGCGCGTGGCGTCCCAGAGGAGACGCTGACTGCGGGAGGCCCAGACGCAGAGTCCTGGGAAGGGACAGGAGCCCCTGTGGGCGCGGCGGGATCTAGCGTAGCAGGCTGGAGGCGGTATGGAAGACATCGTGAGCTGTAGGCAAGATCCCTGTGAGCTTGTAGTTTCAAATTTTAGCCCAAGAGCACGTAACATCCTTCAGGTGTGCTAAGGTCAAGAGCCCATATAAAGTTTTTTTTTTCTTTTGTAATCATTTATTGATATATTTGGTATAGGGGCGCTCTATGCGGCTCGGACCCGTAGTGATCCTCCTGCCTCAGTCTCCCCAGCGCTGGCATTGCAGGCGTGTACACCACGCGCGATCTCGGTGGCCTGCACAGCGTTGGGGCCGGTACTGCATGTGGTACTGGGCTTGAATCCAGGTCCTTGCACTTGCCATACAGGCACTTAGACCACCGAGCTGTGTCCCTGGACCCCCAAATAAATAATTTTTTTTCTGTATTTTAGGGAAGGGTCTACAGGGTGTTCAGGGTCTCACTCCTAGATCGGACTCATAGTGAGTTGCCTGTTTACAGCCTCCCAGAGCTGGGATTGTAGGCGCGCACCACCACACCCAGTCTCAATTGCCAGCTCAGCAAGCCCAGGTGGGGCCGGCACAGCAGGCCCAGAGATCGAACCCGCGGCCCTGAGCCTTCTTGTAGGTGTTTTAATCCACTGAGCTATTTGGCTGGCCCTAAAGTTTATTTTTTTATTTTTTTGGTGGAACCGGGGATTGAATTCAGGTTCTTGTGCTTGCCAAGCAAGCACTTATTCTACTGAGCCATCTCGCAGGCCCTATTCTCTTTCTTTTCAAATATGTGCATTTTAAAAATAAATAGCCTGGGCATGATGCCATATGGCTGTAAACACAGCACTGGAAAAGCAGAAGGAGGAAGATTACTACAACTTCAAGGCCAGCCTGGGCTACATAGCAAGACCCTGTCTCAAAAAGAAAAAGAAAAAAAAAAAGAAAAAAAGAAAGAAAGAAAGAATAAAAGGGGGCCGGCCAAATAATTTAGTGGATTAAAGCACCTGCAAGCAGGTGCAGGGGCTAGGGATTCCAGCCCGGACCTGCTGTGCAGGCCCTGCCCCTGATGAGATGGCAATTGAGACTGTGGGCCTGTAATCCCACCTCTTGGGAGGCTGCAAAGAGGCAGATCACTACGGAGTCCGATCTAGTAGTGAGACCCTGAACACCCAGTAGACCCCTAAAAAAAAAAAAAAAAAAAAAAAAAAAAAGGAGAAAGAAAAAAGGCCAAATAAGCTTATGCCTAAATAGTTCCTGGCTGGGAGCTTATCTCTTGGAAATGTAAATGTCAAGGGACTCAAAGCCCAATCATTGGATTTCCTAACTTGTCACTTGACTCCAATTTACAAAACCCACCTAATGTGATGAGTTGTATCCACATAGCCCTATAGAGGGTGACTATCTATAACCCCTTCAGCGGGTTGCCTCTAGTAATGACACCACATTATTGAGGCAGGAAATTAGGACCTGGCCAACTGGCTTGAGAAGAAGATGGGACTTGTTACCAGAGTGTGGCCTTCAGCTCCTTCAAGAACCGCAGGCACTGGGTGGCTGCAGGCCTGGCTGAACCTCCTCTTCTGTTCTCAGCCACAGCACGGGGTACGAGAGCGAGAGCCACATGACGCCCATCCTCTGTGGTGCGCAGTACCGGATCCACACGCACGGCGTCTTTCGCGGCATCCAGGACGTGCGGCGTGTGCCTGGCGTGGCCCCCACACTGGTCCGCTCAGCCTCAGAGAGCAGCGAGAAGCGGCCCTTCATGTGTGCCTACCCCGGCTACAACAAGAGGTATTTCAAGCTGTCCCACCTGCAGATGCACAGCCGAAAGCATACGGCGAGAAGCCGTACGAATGTGACTTCAAGGACTGTGAGCGGAGGTTTTCGCGCTCTGACCAGCTCAAAAGACACCAGAGGAGACACACAGGTGTGAAACCATTCCAGTGTAAAACTTGTCAGCGAAAGTTCTCCGACCACCTGAAGACCCACACCAGGACTCATACAGGTAAAACAAGCGAGAAGCCCTTCAGCTGCCGCTGGCCCAGCTGTCAGAAGAAGTTCGCGCGGTCTGAGCTTGTCCGCCACCACAACATGCACCAGAGGAACATGACCAAGCTGCAGCCGGCGCTCTGAGCCAGACGGCTCTGTGGCCAGGCGGGAGCACAGGAACCACTTCCAGATGTGCGTTGGGAATTCTTCCTCCCTCGCTTCTCAAAGGACTTGGATTCAACCCGCCTGTGTCCAGCTTCCAAGGCCCCCGGCAACTGGATCCCACCAGTTTGCAGGAGGAGCTGCTTGGTTGGCCCGGAGGCCTGGAGCAGCAGCAGCCTGGCAGGTGGTGAAAAGCCCAGCACCACCTGGCTGGGCTCTTCAGCTGTGAGAGCGAGTGTGATGATGTCCCCCTGCTCCTTGTAGCTCGTCTTCCCTAGGAATGGAGTGGCTGTGCTGCTTCCCATCCCAGGATATTCATAGGCCAGGGCATGCATATGTGTCTGCTAATGTACCTTTGTGTGGTTTCCATTTATTAACAGCGACAGTGAGAAACAAGTCCATGAGGCATGGTGGGTGGGTCCCAGCCAGCCTCCTGGGGGCAGGCGGGCTGCTAACCTGGGGTGCAGGGGCCTCCTCTGCCAGGCAGTGTCGGGCTCCTGTGTCCCATGGAACTGGGAAAAGCGTGGGGCTGAACCAGTACCTCTGTACAGAAACAAACCCGAAAGACCTACTGCAAGGCAGTCTGCAGGCTGACGGCTGCGCGGCGTTCGAGGAAGCTGCTTGAGGAGTGAGGAGCCTCACACAAAGAAGTGGGACACACTTGTCATTTGTGGCACCCTTAGAGTGTGCAGACCACACTGGCCACGTGCTTTCAGGTTGTAAAAATGTAAGTGACTGAAAGGAAATCAGGCCTCCAGGACCCTGCTGATGAGACCTTTTCTGAGTAATTTAAGTGACCGGGTCCACGCGTGTACGTGTAAAGACTTTTGATTGTGGGCAGGCATCTAATGGTGGTCAGGTGCGTGTGTGTGTGAGCATGTGTCGTTTTGGTTTTAAGGGCAGGAGTATATTATTTACCATTGCTTGAAAATACTGTGTAAATATAGATCTGATGATGGTTTCCTCTTCGACAACTAAATTAGGAAGTATTTAAACCCTAGGGCTTCCCTGTCGGGCGCAGTCTACACGTGTTGGTGACACTTAACTTGTAACCTGCATTCTCTGTTCTGATTAAAGTCTCCTCAAAAGCAAAAAAAAAAAAGAAAAAAAGAACCGCAGCAGGTTTCTGAAAGGATGGCCTAGAGCTGACCTCAGCCTGAGGAGTGGGAGATAAGAAAGATGGCTGCCACTGGGCCCTTGCCCACTGTGCCCTCTGTCCCAGTGGTCTGTCCTCACTCTGGGGAGAGAGAGAGAGAGAGAGAGAGAGAGAGAGAGAGAGAGAGAGAGAGAGAGAATGAATATGTATAATGATTTGTGTCTGGTTGTCCCCCTAAAGCCTCATGCAGTTGTGTCTGGTTGTCCCCCTAAAGCCTCATGCTGTCATGGGGCAGACTTCCAGAGTTTGTGATTAACTTTTTTTTTTTTTTTTTTTTTGAGGTACTGGAGATTGAACTCAGGACTCTGCACTTGCTAGGCAAGCACTTACTCTACTGAGTTATCTCCCTGGGCCCAAAAGATGAGAAGGATTTTTTTTTGGGGGGGGGGCTGGCTCTGGATGCCTTAAGGGTGGGTCTGGTAAGGCAGGAGGATGTGCAGTATCCTGGACGGAACCACAGTATCCTGGCCTGACTGCATTTGCATAAGCAGGCACTTAAATGACTGAGCTAACCCGCAGGCCCCCATGTGATTAATTCTTGATCCACTGGGATTATGGGTGTGAGTGCTGCTGGGATTATGGGTGTGAGTGCTGCTGGGATTATGGGTGTGAGTGCTACACCCATATTGGGGCAGACAGCGTGGATGCCATTTAAGGGAGACAGACTTGCTCTGTGCAGCCCTTGTTGCTGCTGCTCCCTTTGCTCACTCTGCTCTTTGCTGCCGTCAGGAAAGGTTGCTCTCTGCCATGTGCCTCGGAGCCAGCTGAGTATGGACTGAAACCTCCAATAACTGGGAGCTAAATAAACCCTTCTTTCATTTTGGTTGTGCATATTGTTATGGGTCACTCAGAATAGGAACCAGATCAGCCAGATTGGAATTTGGAGAGCCTTTTATTACTGAGCTCAGGGCCCCCATCAGCTCTCATGCAGGAGAGGACCGAAAGGCAGCTAGCCCAGGAAGCAGGGGGCTTTTAAAACATGAAACCACATTCTGTTTCGTAAACAAATTCATTGACAAAACAATGCTTTCAGGGTCATTGTGACCACTACCCAAACTAAATTTCCTGGGGCTTTTAGTTTCTGGTTATCTTGCACCTGCAGGCAATCATGCGTAGCTCAGGGTTACAAGAAGTTAAATCCCATTTAGTTTCCTTAGGAAGCCATCTCTGTAATCTAACTTTGTTTACAGGGATTGGTTAGGGAGGAATTTTATCTAGCAAACAGCAAGTAACAGCCACTATTTTCTAAGCAACTTAGAATAGTGGTGAGTATACATTTACAACAGAAAGCACAAGATTTACAT